CCAGTTCAGCATTCTCCTTTTCTTTCTTAGTCCTTCGCCATAATCCCGCCTTACTTTGGAGCTACTGCAGTAGACAAATGGCTCCTTTGTTTAGCCTCTTCAAAGGCTTGGTTTATTGTTCCGTAAGTGCCAAACTCAAGAGCCAGTCTCCAAAGTTTCCACACTTTGACTCACTGGCCTGTCTTTGCTGTGGTCCTTTTGGGCAACATCTGTCTCCAGGATGGACCCTTGCTGGGTTGGAGGTAGAGGTGACTAAGGAAACTTGCTTTGTAATCTTCAGCCTTCACTTGGAGGCCTGTGGGACAAGAGCCCCTTCCAATAATGAACCTGCAGGGATCCCAAACCATTGCTCTGCCTTCTGATTCAAAGGTGGAGGGTCTGAAAGTAGCTTACCTTCGGTTGCTTTCTTTTTTTAGAAGGTCTATTTTCTCTGTGACTCCTTTGAAATGGAGTTTGTTATGGAAAAAGCTCTCTTGAAGTATTTTGGAGTGGCCTCCAAGCACCAATGCCCACAGACTCAGTTTCATTTTCCATTTTGACTTTTCCGCTTGTTGTCAGGCTTCTGGAACTAATCATTGGATTTTCATAAACCGGTGGTTCTCGACCAGAGGCAATTTTGCTCCCAGAGGACATTTGGCAATGTCTGGAGACATTTCCGGTTGTCTCTTGGGGTGGGGGCTTGCTACTGGTATTTAGGGAGACTGCCAAATGTCCTACAATGCACAGGACGGCCCACAGCAGAGAGCTGTTTGGCCCCAAACATCAGTAGCATTGGGCCTGAGGATACCTGAGTTAGCCCCCCAGCCTCCTGATCTTATCCTGGTGCTTACAGTTGGATCTTCCATTTCACTTATTGGCTCTGTTTCCTTCTTTACCCACTGCATGCAGCTGCTAGAAACGTCTTAGGTCGAATTATTTTTTAAAAAAATGTTGTTACAGTGTGCATGCCCTCTTTGGAGACTGAGAGAGAAAGAGAGAGAGGAAAGTGAGAAAGCACCCCCCCAAAGGGAGGATGACCACACCCCATTTTCTTCTCCTCATTCTCCTCTCGGAATTTTGAGCATGCTCAAACATGTATTTTATTTATTTATTATTATTATTATTGCCTTCTTTATTTTTTGAGAGATTTTTTTGCTATAGGGAGCATGTACATGCTGGAGAGACAGAGAGAGAGACAGAGACAGAGAGACAGAAAGTGAGACATCATCCCCTGGGAGGATGGCCACACTGCAATCTTTTCTCCATTCTCCTTTCAGGATTTTGGACATTCATGTACATGTGCTCAGTGAGTTTCAAGTGGTCCGCCATGATGGAGTCTAGCACCTTAACCACTATGCTACTTGCTGGCCCCACTTGTGTGTTTCTCAAGCTGCTCGGTTGGGTCCAGGACTTGAACTACATAGTTGGCCATATGAAATCCAGCTGCTTTAACCACCACACCACCTGCTGGGCCCTTGTAGTAGAATCTTTTTGTACATGTGCTCAGTGAGTTTCAAGTGGTCCGCCATGATGGAGTCTAGCACCTTAACCACTATGCTACTTGCTGGCCCCACTTGTGTGTTTCTCAAGCTGCTCGGTTGGGTCCAGGACTTGAACTACATAGTTGGCCATATGAAATCCAGCTGCTTTAACCACCACACCACCTGCTGGGCCCTTGTAGTAGAATCTTTTTTGTTGTTTTGGAGAGATTTTTGCTATTGGGCACGTGTGCTTGCCAGAGAGACAGAAAGAGTCAGAGAGACAGAAAGTGAGAAATCACCCGCTGGGGAGGTGGGGGGTGGCTGAACCACAATCACTTCTCCTCCAGTCACCTCTCAGGATTTTGGGCATGCAAGCACATGCCTGGTGTGAGTTTTAAGCCACTGGGTCTAGGACACGAAACTGCAGTTGACTACGTGGGAGTCCAGCGACGTAACCATGACGCCATCTGCTGGTCCCAGAATCTTAATAGCTCCTAGTCTCTCCCACTCCATTTAACCTTGTGTGTTAATTAATTCTCTTTCTTATTTAAAATTCTGTAGTCCCCAAAGGACAAAATGAGGCTCCATCTCATGAGCTTGGAATTCCAAGCCCTCATGCATCTGGTCCCCACCTTATCTTAGCCTATTTTCTACCAACTCTGCACTTCAGAATAGCATTCTATTTACAGTCTGCTGACTGACCGGGGAGTTCCCACCTCAGCACTTTCGTCCAGGCAGTTCTCCCAGCCCTATTGCCTCTTCTTGACTAACCAAGGACTCTTTTTCCTTTCAGACCAAGCTAAAGCTCCATTTTCTCTGTGGAGTTCTCTCTCGCTGTAGGGAAACATGATCATGTTACAGGTTTGTAAAATTTGGAGCCAGAGGAAGTTTTACTCATCTTCTAGCTAAGCCATTCTACAAGGTACACACCTGTTCTCTAGGTGGGATCAAGGGATTCCAGGCTAGAATGCACGGTGGCCTTTTCTAGCCATCAAGGATGGGGTCCCCTTTCCCATTCTCCATGAGACTGTAAATGTTGTGAGGCTAGGAATCCCATCTGGTTGGTTTATGCTAATCCTTTCAGAGAGAATGAATTCGTGTGCATACTCCACTGGGTCAAAGAATTGGGCAGACTTCCTCTAATACTTCTGGGCTATGTGAGATTCTGGCATATGAACAGAAACTGCTGAATCAGCTTGTTGGGGGGCCCTATGTTGTCACTACCACCTGCTATATCTAGAAAGTCACATGATCTTTCTAAACGCTACTTTTTCATCTGTGAAATGGGACTACCATAATGATAGCAGTGTCTTTTTGAAGGTATTGTAAGAATTAATTGAGATAATTCACTTAACACAGAGCCCAGTGCCTGGCCCACACTCAATAAATGTTAGTGATTGTTAAAATGGGTCCCAGATTTAGCAGAAAACTGTGTAATGAGTTATTTTACCTTATTATTATTATTATTATTTGTGCTAGAGGGCATGTGTGCTCATCAGAGAGAGACAGAGACAAAGAGAGGACAAAGCACCATCAGTGGGGTAATGGTCCTATCTGCAATCTCTTTCCC